TTCTACTCATCCCTCCATATTCCTCTTATTTCCCAATAACACATTGACACACATCATACAAATAAATCAAAATTCACAATTAATCACAACTAATCACGTAAATAAACAATTCTAAATTCTTGGGTGTTACAATCGTGGCTTATGGCGCCTTTGCCTCATCTTCAGCATTGGGGATATCTTGTATATTTAGAATTTGGCGAGCACAACTTCTATGTGCGAAACTAATCTCCCCGCCCCCGAAGAATCCTCCTGCTATGGTGTTAAGCTTGTGGCACACATATTTATTTCCCTCGCTTTGGGGTGTCTCTTCTATTTTGTTGGGCTTGGGACTTCCCACGCCACTACGCCCTTGTAAGTTGGACTTGTCTAACCCATATAAAGAATCACCCTTCACATATTTCTTGAGGTATCCCTCCTGGATTAGTCTCTCAATTTCTTTCTTGAGTTGATATCAATCCTATGTGTAGTGTCCCATGACCCTATGAAACTTGCACCATCTTCTTGGTTCATGACATATCACATCCTCCTTTGGGAGTAGAGGAGTGGGAATATTGTGTAGATGAAGAACCTCACGCCAGATCTGTTCATGTCAAGTATTCAAAGGTGTGAAGCTCTCTGTTGTGTTGTCTATTCTCTTGAAAGTGGTATTGTCTTTGATGGGATAAGTATGATTACTTTTCCTCTGGTGGTGTGAACCTTTGGCATTGGGAACACGCTCGTTGACGTGGCGCCTTCTTCTCGATGTTTCTCTCATCGCCCTTTATGTAGCGTTCTGTTTTGATGATCACTTCCACCAACGAAGTTGGTCTTTGGGCAAGAGACTCGTTGAAGTGTCCCGCCTTGAGCCCATTTCGGAACACCCCATAAGCATTTATTGGTTAGGGGGAATGGCTGTGATGGTGGGTTCATTAAACCGAGTGATATAGTCCCTTAATGACTCTGATGGACACTCTCGTATATTGAACATGCCAGTGATGGACATCTTCATGTGACGGTTGGCGGTGAACTGGTGCACAAGTTTCTTTACCAGGTCCTGATACCATCGAAGGGAGACGTCCCTAAAGGTGTCAGACAATAGTTTACACTTCATGGTAGGGGTGTTCAAATCCAAACCAATATAAATAAAAACAACAAACCGATCCAAAAAACCCAAAAACTGCAAAAATCCAAAATTTTTTAGATGTATTTGGATGTCGTTTTATAAAAACCGCTCGGTTTGGATTGGAATTCAGATTGATTTTTGAAAACTGATCTAAACCAAACCGCATGTATAAATTTTTTATACTTATTTATTTTTATTAATGTGTGTGTGTGTGCGTGTGTGCGCGTGTGCGTGCGTGTGTGTGTGTGTGTGTGTGCGTGTGTGTGTGCGTGTGCGTGCGTGCGTGTGTGTGTATTGTACTAATTTAATATTAGATGATACTTATCTTTTTAAATAATATTTTTTAGTTTGATTTAATCTATTTATTTTTATTATTTTCATCTTGTAATATTGACTTTTGATATAGTATATTATATATTATGTCAAACTTATTATTTATTACTACTTTTAGAATATTAATAAAAGCTATAATTTATAATTTGAATATCCAAAAAACCGATTCATGGAATTAAACCACATTAAATTGGATCAGGTCAGATTTTTTTAATCAATCATCCAAAACCAAACCAAACCGTGAGTAAATTTACCTTTGGATCAGATGATATTTTGCTTCTAAATCGAACCGCGAACACCCTTACTTCAGGGAGCCAGGTGCCACAATGATGACCATTTGTGTATTGATGGAGGCGACATGCTCTTAAGGATCATTGCGCCCATCAGACTTGGATAGAGAGGGGTGTTTGAATCCCTCATGGACAGATGCATCACATATCTCGTCTGAGAGTCGCTAGGGGTCTACCACTAACATCCCCTTTATGGATTGGACTTTTTTTGACGTTGTATAATGTTGTGGACATTATCCTTCCATGTCTTTGATGACATATTTCTTCCATGGCAGCATGCATATTCATTAGGGCGTTGGAATCACTATTACCACATGTATCCTCCCGCGTAAGGGATTAAGCCATACTATTAACCATGGCTAAAAAAGTATAGGTACAAGAGTGGATGAGTGATTGTGATGAAGAAGCTGTGACCCATATTAGTCTTATCAAGGCTCCACGGTGGACACCACTGAACCGATGAAAAATACATGTGTGCATGTTACCCCTAAAAGAGCAAGGGTACTAAGAGGTTTTAGTAGTTTTATAACGATTTGTAATGGTTATGGCTTTCCCATGGCGGCGAGAAGTCGTTATGTACAGTGGTTTTATGGTGGTTTTAGAAGACCAACTCACATGAGGTGAAAGACTATGTATATTAGTTATGTGTTTGTGTATAAGCATATGAATTAAGATCTGTCCTTTCTCCATTGGGGTAGAAGTATATATAGGGGCCCTTTTGGGCTTAGGACTTAAGAAACTCTTATAGGTAGTATCTGCTACCCTATAAATATGAGAGATTGTTGACTATCTATTCTTCAAGAAATCGTGATGGACTCCTTCTTATATGATTAACTGAAGATAACAATATTATATATATCATCAGTCTCAAGTGCGAGCTTCTCTCGATCAATGAGGATGTCGCATGTGCAACGACACATCAGACGAGGATTCTTAAATCATCTCTATTAAAAACGCTTACAAATATAACATTACAAAATTCAAAAGAATATAACTTATGAAATTGCACTAATAGATTACAGTACATAATTCCTATTATTTTAATTTTTCTATTTTATAAAATTTTGGAACTCCGATAGCAACGTGTGTTAAAAAGAAATTCACCAGCATGGTCATAGGCTCATAGCAAACAACACTCCACCATCACTCCACCATGTTGACATAGTGCCAACATTTTTATTTTATTTTACTATTACACGTAGTGTCGACATCTTTTTGTTGTTCACATATGCTCTCCTCACCAAGCAAATGGAAACTTACAGATGCTTTATTAAATATAAATATATCTTTCAGTAATAATTTAAACTTTAATTTATCAGAAAGTCTAACTCAATTCAATTGGTCACATGGTGTCAACATCTTAATCCTATCCATAATGAAAAAAGTAGGTGCATTGTTGGCATTCAAATCACAATAATTGACACTATAGACCAATTATAACCTCAAATAAAAATAACTTAGAAATATAAAATATCTATTAATTATTTCATTCCTTTCTTATTATGGATATTTAATTTATTTGTAGCATATTAAAAACTTTTTTACTAAACATATTAAAAAGTTTGAACTTGCAAAATGTAGGTGCTTTACAGTCATTTATTTTTAAATAAGACAAAGTTTTAAAAGTTGTTACCGTTTTATAATGCTCAATATTTTTCTTTCCCAAAATATACAATAAGTCAATAAGATAATTGAAGATAAGATATAGTGACATAATATCTATGGATTGTTAAAGCTAAAAAAATATAATATAATATAAAGAAGGTATCAAACGGACCGGTCCAACCTTTTAGGTTTCCTATACATAAAATTAAAATGGAGTGGAGCGGATATAATTTAGATTGCAACTATCCTAAGAAAAATAAAAAATTAAAAGATAAATTTTTTTATTAACTTTTGTATCTATTACCAAAAAAAACTGACAGACATATTATAGTATACAGATTTAAGTTGTCTCAAATTTTTTAGAAATTTTGTATAAGAAATTAAAATTATTTTCAATTGAGTTGTAAAAATTTTAATAAGGGATTATATTTAACTGTAATTTATGTACAATATATAACATAAACACACGTTTACAAATGAAAATAATTTTCACACTACAAATCAGTTTTATATGATTGAATTAAATAAAATCACATTTTTTAACATAATATTAGAAAATTCGTTTAAAATTCAATAAACTATTTGCTATTCAGATTTCCATTATAAAATCATCTATTATTTATTTATATACGGCAGATTTTACATATCCTCAAAGATGATTATGTTTCGACCTAAAACTTTGATTCATCTAATAAATATATAAATAAAACCGATATGTTTGATTGCTCGTTTTATCAACCCAAAATATAAATGTAATGTTAACATTAACATAAATTTATTGACTTTGGATTATCCATTGCATGCCAAAATCTCCTAACTTCTTTGGATTATCCATTGCATGCCAAAATCTCCTAACATTTTTTTTAACTTTTTGTAAACTCCTAACATTTTATTTAACCTCTTGACGTTTATACCCTACTAGCATAATATCCAAAACTTATGAATAAACAAAGCTACAACAATCCTCATCCATATTGGATATTCCTGTTAAAACACTCCTCAATCTATCATCAAACTTATCCTTATCTAACATTAATTAAACTATAATCAATTATCAACAAACAAGTAAAACAATTTCTTTAGACCTGGCCCTCCCAAAATAATTTTTCACAATGTTAACATTCACCCACAAACGACCTTCCACGATCACTAAACGGCAACCTCTGTCCTCCAAAGCGACCCCACCTTTCACTTACTTCCTCATCCAACTACTGTCGTATTCCACCCACGTGCCAATCTCGTGCTAGTTAACCTTTCTCTCACACACACGTGTGAAAATCACACTCTCACGCGTCAGAAACCCATGGCATAACCCAAAAAAGAAAATAAATATTTTTAAACAAAAAAATAAATAAAATGAATATGCCAAAGCATCTATATAACTATTGTCATGTAAATTATAATCTCACATTTCGAACCTACATAGTATATCCTTCTTTAATACTTTATCTTAGTCAAATAATTAAATTTCCGAAAAATTGAATCAAAATCGCATAAACTCTTATGAGTTTAAACTTAATAGTTTCTCTCGAATATTCTCTACAAAATTCCAATTATTCTTATCATCTATATATTAATCAAACTCTCATAGTTACTTTTACAAACAAAAAAAACATAACTCGAATTTATAACTCTTTGAATCAGTTACAGTTACAGTTACACTTACAGAAATGAATTTTGGTAGAAAGAAACGAGTCACCGATCCGCTCGACGACGAAGCCAAAGCTCGACTCGTCGGCGGTAATTTCCGGCAACTGAGTGGCATTAGTAGCGGGAGCGAGCATTCCGGTGACGGAGAATTCACTTCTTCACCGTCTCTGTCTGAGCTTGTGCATGATTTCCTCGAGGAAGATAATGAAAACGAGTGTGACTCGGCGGAGAACGATTTCGACTCGGAGCGAGTTGACTCGGTTTCGGAATGCTTGGACTCGGTGGAGGATCTTCTAAAATTAAGAAGTGAAAATGCTGATGCTGACTCTTACCTGAGCATGCTTCGCGTGCATGTTTCTGAAGCTGCGGTTAAGTTTGCATTTCTGAAGGAACAAAGCTTTTCAGTTTTTAATCGAAACGTGATGTCGTTTTTGCGTGAGAAGGGGCACATTTCTGCGATTTGTAAGACACGGTGGGAACCCTCCGGCGGATTAACTGCCGGCAGCCACGAGTTTATCGACGTGGTGTCTTCTGAATCTTCCACGTGGCAGACTAGGTACTTCGTTGAGCTTGATTTCGCCGGACAGTTTGAAATTGCGAGGCCGACGAGTCGTTACACAGAGATTATGAGTTACGTTCCTGGAATTTTCGTTGGAACATCGGAGGAGCTTAAACGCACCGTTTTGGCCTTGTGTGGTGCGGTAAAACTGTGTTTAAGGAGCAGAGGGTTATCGATACCTCCTTGGAGAAAGAACCGGTACATGCAAAATAAGTGGTTTGGACCGTATCGTAGAACTACGAACCCGGTTCAGGGGAATCCGGCTCCAGGTGTTGCTCCTTCTTTCAGCTGTGCTAAATGTAGATTAGTTGGGTTCAACGACGCCGTTTCGGAGACTAGACGCAGCGTTTCATTTGTCCGGACAAGATAATTGATTGCGAAGTTTTGAATTTTGTTAAATATTTCTATATTTTAGTTTAATTATATACAGTCGTTTTGGAATGAATTGGATTGGGTCGTTTCTGATACACTGTTGCTTACATTATTAAATTGAAGGAAAATTGAATGAAAATGATGGAACTTATAGAAAGTTAATTTTTATGTGGCAAATCTACACCTCTATTCTCTGCAGCAAATAGAAGATTATACATATACTTGCATGCTGAAGCATTCCTGAACTTTAAATTTTGTCCGATTGATAAATCCAAACACTTCATTCAACAAATGAAAACTTTTTATGCCATATCCCTGAAAGTAATCTACAGAAATGCCACTATTTAAAAATTAAAAAAATATCCAAAATGCTACATTTTTGTTTTTATATATATATATATATATATATATATATATATATATATATATATATATATATATATATATATATATATATATATATATATATATATATATATATATATATATATATATATATATATATATATATATATATATATATATTAATCTCCTCAAAGATTGCTGAAGAGTGAGATCCTATAAATAGGGATGACAATGGAGCGGGATAAAAATACACCTACCTCCATACAATATGGATGACAATGGAGCGGGGTAAAAATACACCTACCTCCATACAATACACCTGCCTCCGCTCGTAAGTCTAATCGGGATAAGGGGTAAAAATACACCTACCTCCATACAATACACCTGCCTCCGCTCGTAAGTCTAATCGGGATAAAAATTTATCACCCATATCTGACTCCACTGAAGAACAAGTGCATACGCACTCATTCCAACTCAATCCATAAAAAATTAATTTTTTTAATTGAAATAAAAATTAATAATTTAATTAAAAAATTAATTAATTAATTAATTAATATTAACTTAATTATTTTGATTATTTTAATTGTAATAAGGGCATTAATAATTTAATTAAAAATATAATTGATAAATAAATATTAAAATAAATAAAACAATGCAATTAAAATAAAATAGATTATCCGAGGGCAAGAAGGGGGCGGTGTGGACGGATCTTAGTGTGTATCTGCACCCGCAGTTAAGAATTAGGCTTCTTCCGCACCCGCACTCAATTAAATTGAATTTTTCTCGTTAATTTTGGGGCGGGTCTGGGCTGGCGTGAGCGGATCTGGATTTGTTTGTCATTCATACTTATGGATGGAGTTTCTATTATTTATTATTATTATTATTTGTTATTTTTGATATTATTTTAATTATTTTAAATTATTTTTTAATTTTAAAATTAATAATATAATATTAATTTTGATATTCGTTTTGCTTTTTTTACTATTTATATTTTTGTCTTTCTTTAATAAATAATTTCTATTTTATAATTAAATTTTTTTCGTTAAAGAAATTTAATAATTTTTTCTGCTGTCTGAGTTAGGGTCTGTTTGGTTTAAATGAGAGGGAGGGGAGGGGAGGGATTTTAATGAATGGGAGGGGAGGGGAGGGGAGGGGAGGTGAGTGATTTTTTTAATCAGATAAGTGTTTGGTTCAAAAGAGAGAAGAGGAGGGGGAGAGAAAGATTTTAATTAAAAATGTGTTTGATTCAGAATAGGAGGGAAGGGGTTTTATTAATAATTTACATTTTTATCCTTATAATCTTATATAAGTCATATGATATTAAAATGTGAAAAATTCATGCGTATTTTTATTGGTAATAAAAATTCTAATATTGAGTGATTAAAAAAGTATTTATTTGTCAAATAAAATTAAAAAATTGAGTACAATTGATTCGACTTATAACTTTTCAACATAAATTGAACTATATGCCAATAACATCGTTTAAATTATTATGAATCATATAACATAACAAATATATAAAATACCTTATTATTAAATATCAATTGGTTCAAAATATTTAATAAAATGAATAAACAAATAAATAAAATGAATGGTTTACAATTTGATATAAAATAAAATATGATAGAATACATAATAAAATTAAAAGAAAAAAAGAATATAGCTAAACATAATTTGTTTTTATAAAAAAAAAGACAATGATTATAATTTATATTAAGTATAGAAATTATAAAATAATTTGAAGGTGAAGAACAATTATAATAAGTTGATGGAAACAATCCAGAAAAAGTAATAACACGAAGGAAAACGAATAGTTTTGAAATACTGAAATTAAACTCAGGATATTTTAGTAAATATAATAATTTTTAAATATCAAAACTCATATTCCCTCCCCTGCCCTCAAAATCCCCCAAATTCGGAGGGAACCAAAAAAATGTATTTTGGAGGGATTTTGCTCCCCTCCCCTCCCCTCCTAAGATTTGAATCAAACATATTTAATTAAAAATTTTCCCTCCCCTTCCATCCATCTACCCGAACCAAACACACCCAGTCTGATCTATAAATTGAAGTGTTCAAGACAAATGAGTTTTCTATTTGTTTCACATATTTTTTAGTTATGTCTATGTTGTGTATTGTGTTTTTAGTCATTTAGAATCATTTAAAAATAAATTCAGAAAATTCAAATAAACAAAAAAATAAATAATGGGGTGCTTCATCCAAGATGGCGGTTCTCTTCATGGAATCTGACTCCGTTATCTCAGATGGATGAGGTTAAAAAAATAATAAAATATACACAACATGACAAAAATATATGGTATTGAATTATTGAAAAATTTCAAAGATCACCAGATTTTCCAAAGCTTATATTACCGGTAAATAGCATTTTTACCGTGTTTATTAAAAAAAACACGTAAAAACCATATGTTGTATGCATTTTTAACAGTTTTTTTAAAAATATCTGTTAAAAATGCATACTTTGTACTGCACTTTATAAAAATGTCAGTAAAAATGCATATATGTTTACCAGATTTTATAAAAAAAACTAGTAAAAATGTGCATATTATACCAGATTTTCTAAAAACTCCACTAAACATGCATTGTATTACATGTTAGTTCAAAAAATACAAATAAGTATGAATTTGTATCAGATTTTTTGAAAAATTCGGTAAGTTAACTATTTTTGAATTTTTTTCTAATAAAGATTAGAGGAACAAGTAACAGGATTGCTTGTCGACAACGTGCTAAAGTTGAAGTTGTTTCAGCCACGACTCGAGTGAGGTCGGGAGACGTAGAAGACTCGCATCTCCGTGCGGGAAGCAGTTGGCCGATCAGTTTCGTGCACCATGCACTACTCGATTTAGAGGGTTTAGAGCTCTAGTTAAATAGACTAGAGAAATTGATGATGAACCTGTTGTTGAGGATGTCCAAGCAACAGTTGAGGATATCATGTAGATGGTAGTGGAGTCAAATATGCCACGTCCTTCTGAGACGACAGAAGTGTCACATCTATCTAAGTCAAAGGCTTCGACTACTACAGAGGTTACTCCACATACAACTACTAAGGCGTATGTTAAAGATGATATGGATGTCACCCCTCCGGTTGGGACAAACGTCATTGCTCCGATTGAGGTCAATACTCCATCATCAATAAAGTCGTTTGTACACTCAGATGTAGAGTTTCTTGGAAGACCCATTGAATATTATGTGCTAACTAGATATGTCGATCATGTGACATTCAAATTATGACATGGAAAGGTATGTATATGATATTTCGATTATGTGACTTTATTTATTATTCATACGTTGAAAATAATGGATGTTTTTTACTTTGTTTATTACAAGACCGACCTCCACTGGAGGTGTCCACCCTTGGGGGAAAGCTGAAGAAGTTCTTAGATGTCTTGACGCCACGGGTGGTCAGGGCGATTGTCAAAAAATGCGGTTCCATATCACTGGTTGACTGTTTGATAACCATGCTCAACTATCAACTATTGACAACCTTTATTGAGCGATGGCATAATGAGACATCTTCTTTCCATCTTCTATTTAGTGAGATGATGATTACACTGGATGATGCCTCCTTTTTGTTCCATATTCTGATGGCAGGTAGTTTCTTCACCGCTCCTTTCATTATCCAGGATCTTTCATGTATGATTGATGTACATGACACGGGGATTACTGATGAGTAGGTGATAGAGGAGTTTAAATTTAACAGGGGTATTCACTTCCCCTATCTTGGTTGTGTGATAGGTATGGCGATCTAGTGCATCAGGGTATGTATGAGGCGCCCTCTAGGGTATACATGTTACATGTAACACTCCGTTTTATTTTAATTATTTTTTGTAATTAAAATTATTTGATGTTGTATGTATCTATGTGATTATATGTATTTTATTATGTTGGAGTACCTTGTGGTAGAGGGTGGTGACCTTAGAATTACAAACCCTAAGGATGAAGGGTGTTTAACCGATTGCTTAGTGCTTTGCAGTGTGGTGAGAATGTCTAATTAAATAATATTAGTAATATTAGTTGAATATTACTAACTTAAATAATTAGGGATTATTATTATTATTGTTATTATTACTATTATTATTTAATTTATGGAATAATAATAATCTATAACTATATATAAAGGGGATACAAGTTTTTGGTGTGACTTATTTTTGTTCCAAAATTATCCTTATTTAATTGTAATATTTCCATAATTATCTATGCAGTTTGTTTTAATTACAACCTTGTGTGAGCAAGAATCTCAACCGCTCAACCAAAACGAAAACCGCCGTACACAGACATTTAAGTGTGAAACAACTGCTCTTCATTTCAATAGCAAAACAAAAGTAATTATAAAACTTGGTAGAGAATCCTAAATAACAATGGAGTAGACTCTTATCGTTTTTTTCCTTATCTACATATTATCCTTTCCTTTCTCCATCCCTCTAATCTATTTTTTCATGTTTTCACTTTTTAATTTTCTTATAGATATCTTCTTAAACATGATAAGGTCAAAATATATAAATCATTTAATATTATCACTTTTGTTTATGTTCATGTATGTTTTATTGGTTTATTCAATTTAGTTTAATTTTGTTTTGTTCTAATGTGTAGCTTTTGATTTTAGTGTCTAAGTAAAAATACATTGCTCTAATTTTACAG